ATAGGTGAGCTTGAGTGGCTGTCTTCTGATAGATCGAGCTTACGTCAGCCAATCAATTTGTCACCGTTGGCTTCATTGTGCATTTAGAAACGTAAGTTCACTAATTAGACTGATTGTATTGTTAACCCGAAAAGGACTTGCAGAAGAATACCGTATAGAATTATTAAGTCTAAACCCAAAATATGGCTCTGATCACTCGGAAATGCCTCCGATGACCAACTATGGCGGTTAAAAGAAAATTGTAGAAAGGTATGCAAGTGAAGAGGACAGTTATTTTATTACCTAGATACTTTATCCACAATCATCAAGATGAGTTAATCGGAAGCGGAAGTCGACACTGTTCTCACTTGTTGGTGGGAAGGTCGACTCCGACGCACGGTAAATCCCCTGTAGCTGAATCCAGGGAAGATAACAGCCACGAGTAACCACTCTTTTAAAAGTGGTTAGGAAAATTTGTGTCCACAAGCATCCATTGCAGTTTCCAATTTCCCGACTTGCCCGCTTCATAAAACTGGAGCTCTGACTGGTCCGCCTATGATTAGTTTAATGGTTCGCTGAAGCTGGTAATGGCTAGATCCTGACGGATGGTCTACCCACTGCTGCTACTGTTGTGCCATTGGCTCATGTCCTGGACGCCTTGTGACGACCGCTGTGTGGGAGTTGGGCTACGCTCTTCTCTCTGTTAAGATCCAGGACACCAATCCGCATGAGTCAGTGAAGTGATCATGTGCTAGACCCACTGCCTTTCGGGTGTTCATTTAATCGAAGGCTTTGGCTGAGGACCCGAGTCGTTCTCCTGTCAGGCGCGGGCGCCCTGTCAGTATCCTAGTCCATCCTCTTCGGAGGTTAAAAAGTGGTCGATGGCCCTCTTCCCGTAAAACCTAGCCATGGGAGACAACAGGTCTAAGGGTCATAAGCTCAAAACTCGATTGGCTACAGCACAAGCGTCACGCATTGTCTCTGATGGTGGGAGGGCACCCCCGGGTGCTCAGTAGTTTGCTCCTGCCCGCCTCAAGCCAGGTAACCCCAGGTCAAATTGGTGCAAACCCGCCAAAACCCACCTGCGTCTGGCCGTGGTCGCAGGTGTATCCTACAACGGTCGCAAAACATATATGAATCGTTCCACTACCTCAAAGGCTGCGTGTGACGGCCGTCAAGCAGATCCCAACCTGCAATCACATTCCCGAGCTGGATCTGCTCCCCACTGCCTGGTGGGTTAGGCTATTGAGCCGAAGGCTCCGGGTGGAGTCTCTCAAGCAAACCTCCGAAGCACAACGACCACCTCGCGTGCGATTGCCCACAAATGCAATCGTATGCCTGCGCAAAGCACTCAGCATCGGGTGCTGGAATGTACGCACACTACTGGACCGGAACTCCAGTGAGGGCCCAGAGCGACGCACTGCACTCGTCACGATGGAACTGGCACGTTACCACATCGATATTGCGGTGCTCAGTGAAACCCGGCTCGCTAAGCAAGGTAAGCTGCATGAAGCAGGTGCTGGCTACACATCCTACTGGGTGGGCAACGCCGCCTCAGCACCACGTGAGTATGGGATCGGATTTGCAAGATCCGATCGCCTCCATGACCAGCTCGTGCGTGAACCAACAGACATCAGCGCGCGACTGATGACTACGGCTCGAGAGAGGTAAGGGTGCCACTTTTATAAGCATGTGTTATCCTGATGACACGCGTGATCAATTCTACACTCAGCTATCCTCCGTGATACGGTCTGTGCCCAGGAGCGACCGACTACTTCTGCTGGGTGATTTCAGCGCGCGCGTTGGGCGTGATGCATCGGTGTGGACAGATGTCATCGGTCCGCATGGCATTGGTTCAGCGAATGCGAACGGTGACAGGATGCTCTCACTGTGTGCCACTCACGGCCTGACGATCACGAACACTCGGTTTGCAATGAGCGAGAGTGATATAGCAACTTGGACGCACCCACGGAGTGGTCACGCTCACCTACTCGACTATGTCATCGTACCACAACGTGATATGCGTGAAGTGCGCATGACATGTGTACTGCGTGGAGCTGAGTGTGGCACTGATCACAAAATGGTGCTTACCAAACTGTATATATATATATATTTTCGTAAATCTATGTATTGCACTCCCGCCGTGAATTGGCGTAAATTTAACATTCTCTCCCTCGGTACTGTGGCGAAACGTACTGAGCTGGAGAAGGCGACGGCTGCACGCCTGTATGGTGATGTGGACTGCATAGCTACAGTGGGCGACCTGTGGCACCACATTCGCGACCAGGTGAGAGGTGCTGCCAAGGAGACCATCAGGCGCGCAAACTCTAAGTGGCCTGATTGGTTTGATGAGAACTATGCGACGATTGGCGCATTGGTGTCGGAGTATGCAGCATTTGCTGCACATGTGGCAGACCCCAATGACTTGGAGAAGATTGGTCAGTTTCGCAAACTTCGACGGCGACT